ACTTTGACTTGGCTGCGTGTGTTCATGGCACGCTTCGTGCCGCCTGCGTTTGGGGACTCCCGGATGTCAACGTGCTGTGACCACCACATAGCGCTGGACATGATTAAAGGATTGATTTGGAGAAAAAAGAATCTCGTCTGGTGATAAGAGGGGCCTCTGTGGTCGCTCTGCATGGAGCAGGAGCGTCTTTCTTAGAATCCTGGGCAGAGGACAAGGAAGTGGGGAAAGGGAGACTTCAAGCTCAGAAGTTCCCGGGCGGCCTGATCTGCTCCTCAAAATACCAATTTTGGGAAATTCTGGCCTCTAGCCTGTGCCCTCTACTAGCTGCTAAAGCTGGTGGCTCAGCCCTGTCTCCTTGGAACAAGGAGGAAACGTGGCTCATTCGTTTCTGCAGTGACAGCCATTCAACTATTGAAAGGTCATATTAGGTCACCCTTCAGTTTCCTCCTATTCTGCTAACCCCATCTTGTCTCTGCCACAATCTCACCGGGTAGTCCCCTCTAGCAGTGACGCCTGGACCAGAGTACACTCTCACTCAAGTTGGCTTTAAGATGTCAAACCTTGGCAGCTACCTTCCGTCAGCCTGAGGGATGGCCACCCTTTGCTCCCCACCTGCCCACACCTTCCTCGTCCCCTTGTATCTATCTGATCACACCCACCCGGCGGCCACCACAGCTAAAAGTGGGCTCGGTGGTTCAAAATCCCACCCAGCAATGCTTAGCACCTCCCGGCACAAGGCCACCAGCCACCTGCCCCTCTCCACCTCCACAGCACAGCGCCTTTCTTCAATCCAAGGTAGCGTCTGCATTGAGACGTTTCCAGCCCTTCCCTTTCTCCCACACGCACACGTAGTTACGGTGTGTCTGACACAGGCGCTTAGGCAGGGCCGGATTGGGGTGAGGCCAGTGAGGTGCTGGTCTCAGGTGCAAACCTTCAGGGGTGCCCAGAAGCTTAGGAATCAAAATAAGTGGCAGTTTTACACAATATTTTTCTAAAATCAAAATGAATGCAAAACAACTCATGATGAGTCGAAACACCAAAATACCAGAATTTTAAAGGAAGACAGGATTAAATGAGTGCAAATGAACACAGGCCCGGCGCTGGGCGTGCACGAGCCTCCCTGGGTGGCCAGGCCCGCTGCGGGCTGGAGAGAGCCCCGGAAAACCCAGCCAGCCAGGCCTGCGGGCTGCAAAACACAGGGAAGGCGGGGCCTCTGCCTCTTCCCGTCCAGCCCACTCCATCCCCCGGCCGAATTAAGTACGAACTCCCCCATCTAAAGGCCAAGAAATTAAGGGGCCAGCCTTCACTGCACTGTGGGGTTCTTTCAGGAAGTCCTCACTGCATCGATCGATCGTCAGGCGTGCTTTTTTTTTTTTTGAGACAGAGTCTCGCTCTGTTGCCCAGGCTAGAGTGAGTGCCATGGTGTCAGCCTCGCTCACAGCAACCTCCAACTCCTGGGTCAAGCGTCCTCCTGCCTCAGCCTCCCGAGTAGCTGGGACTACAGGCATGCGCCACATGCCCGGCTAATTTTTTCTTATTATATTAGTTGTGCCAATTAATTTCTTTCTATTTATAGTAGAGATCGGGTCTCGCTCTTGCTCAGGTTGGCTTCGAACTCCTGACCTCGAGCAATCCGCCGCCTCGGCCTCCCAGAGTGCTAGGATTACAGGCGTGAGCCACCGCGCCCGGCTGGCGTGCTTGTCATTGTCTTCCAGACCGGGGTGGCTCACCTTCTCCGTGCTGTCGGATCCAGCCTCTGCCTGGCCTAAAGCACCCTCAGCCTTTGTCGCTTGCCCGGCACAGTCGCCCGGCCCTGTCCCCATTAATGAGCACCGATGTCACCTCCCGCCAAACCCAAGGAACGGAGGCCTTCATCCGTGCAGGAGGAATCCCGCTAGTCCTCACGGGGCCTGACAGCCACTCCTGGACTCTCGGCTTCTCCCGTCTGTTTCCATGAACAGCTTTGGACTGATTGTCCAGTCTTCTTGTTTGTGGTTTATTTCTCACAGTACCCGGTGCTGACCCGCGTCTCAGTGGACTCACGCCTGTGCTTCCTTCCGGTTCTGCTCGAGCGAGCGTGCTGGTCACCACCAGCAAATGCCCCGGGGGATTTATGGACATTTAAAACAAACGTTCTCCAGGAGAGGGTCCGAGTCACGCTTGGTGAGCAAAGAGTAACCGAGAACTTCCAAAGCATGTGCTGATTCTGGGAGCTGCGCCTCGATTCCTGAAACTTCTCCAAAGTCGGGGAAATCATGATCTTTCCTGCCTATTCAGCAGCATGGATCTGTGCTGAGTGGCTCCAGCGGAGTGCAGGGGTCCCCGAAGGAGCTCAGAGCCCTGGGAGGCTGCGCCTGCAGCACCCGAAGGTCTCCCCGCCAGCCACACGGGCGACGCCAGCACCAAGTAAATCCTGCTGTGCGACCAGCACTCCTCATGCCAGCCTCTCACCCACATTAGCTGGACTGGACTCACTTCGAGCAGCCCCCAAACTGAGCCCGGCAGACCCCAAGCAGTCACGTGCCCCTCCAAAATGGGAGGGACACACCACACCACACCAGGAGCCGCCCCTTGTCGCTCCTCCCCTTCCATCTTTGCACTGAAGCACCTGGGACGGGACATGCTTCAGGCGTGGGGAGTGGGTGGAGGGCGTCCCAGGCCCACATCGTGAACGAGCCCTTCTAGAAAGACCAGCTGCAGAGGCACTGTCTCCAGGACGAACTTAACTTGTGCATAAAAGTAGATCAATGCAAGGGACAGTAATCCCTCTGAGGGTGTCTCCCACGCCCTGCACACGGCGTTGGGCCTCACCCACACACGGCACACACGCCAGAAGCAGTATGATTACAGGCAAATTCAATGCAAATGCCTAATAATAAAAAACCCCAGGCAGTCGAATCCTATAGAGTTCTTTTTTGGCGGGGGGCAGGGGGAGGGGGATAAAAGGTCATTAATCTGCAAAGGAATAGTTTTTACAGAAATTTGTTTTTTAAAATCTCTACCCAGTTTTTGTTATATTTGTGCAAATTAATCTTTATACTTTATTTCTGTATTAAAATAATATACCAGCATATTTGAAATTTGGAAAAGGGGCACAGTTTATTACTCTAGTGTCACGCAAGTCTTCTAATATAATTTTTAATGAATCTTTTGTAATTTCGCTTCCTTCCTGATTCCAGTCGTATCCCAAATGCATAATTTAACACACCCTTCATGTACAGTTTCTTTATTCAGTTTCCTAACATTATGACTTGGCTTTTAAGCTCTTTCCTACTAGACTCCGAGACTCCTAGAGGCCAAGGATAAACCTTAAAAACACACGCACGCAGACTACTCCTTATGGAGGGAGATTGTTAATAAATATTTGCTGAACTAATCAAGGAATGGACTTTGACATCAGGAATTTCCTTATGAGATAATTCACTCTTTCCCAGAAGGTGTATTGTAAAATAAAATTTAAACCAGGAAATAAAGAACACAGTGGTTAGTGTCCCTGCGTATAATCTTTCTATGCACAAAGCACAGGGCCCCGGTTTTCCTTGTTCCCTCCATAGTCCTGTGAATGTTAACCTGGGTCACCTGCTCAGATACCTTTGGTCCTGGCCAGACTCCAGCCCTCTCTCGACTGGCAGCCTGCCCAGCCGTGGCTGACCGCTGCCTCCCAGAGGGGACGGCCGGGGGTGCCGGAGCTCCTGATGTTTCCAGGAATGCCATAAATCCAAGGTTTTATGTGAAAACCCCTGAGTTTTAAATGTTGGCCTGTGTTTTATTTGTTTTGCTTCTACAGATTTTGCCTGCATGCCAGATTTGTCATCTGGGCCTTCCATGTGCAACCCACGTGCCGTAGACTGAATGTTTCTGTCCCCCGTCAATCCTCACGTTGGAACCTGCCGCCCACCATGTGATGGTGTTCGGGGGCGGGGGAGCGTTGGGGGGTGCGTAGGTCAGGAGGGTGGAGTTTTCAGGAATAGGATCAGTGCCCTTGTGAAAGGGACCCCTTCGCCCCTTCTGCCACCTGAGAAGGTGTCGTCTAGGAACCAGGAAGCAGCCCTCCTCAGGCACTGAATCTGCAAACACCTGGATCTTGGACTTCCCACCTTGCAAGACTACGAGGAATAAGACTACGGTTGTTTACAAGCCCCCCAATCTTTGGCATTGTCACATCAGCCTGAATGGACCCAGGCTCCCCGTTCTGCCCCAAACTGGCACACACAGCCCCGAGAAACGCGCGGGCCTCCCTCCCTTCCGTCACCAAGACCCCTTCTCAACCGTCAGCTTCTCGGAGCCTTTCCCCGACCATCCTCTCTCAAAGCCCATCTGCTCCTTTTTTTAAGCTGTCACCTCCCCTCACTAGGATTTCACTGCCAAAGGGGCAGGGACCTCCGTGCCTGTTCTCTGTCCCTCAGGGCTCCTCCACGGTGCCTGGCGCAGGCAGGCGAATGGGGGCAGAGAGGACAGCCGCCACCCAGAGCTCAGCCCTTCCTGAGCTGGCAGGCAGGGGCGGCTCTGTCCGCCAGCACAAATGTCTTCTCAGCACCTGACATTTCCTACACACCCACTTAATGGCTCCCTTCTGCTTGCCAAGACCTTACGGGTGGCTTTCTCTTGAATTCCTGCCTCCCACAGCGCTAGGATTACAGGTGTGAGTCACCACGCCCCGCTGCAGGTTGATGGATGACTTTCAAAGAGCTGTTCAGTCCTTTAGAGGCTTTAAAAGGATTCTCGAGATTAGGGTCTGGGCCCCTCCTGCCTCTCACCTGGGAGGGAGCTGAGACCTGAGCTGCAAGGGGAGAGGTCAGGGCCGGGCCGGGAAGCTGAGGCCGCACCGTCCACGTCTAACGCGAGGATAGGCAGCGGCACCCACCTCGGAATGGACCTAAATGTGAGACTCAGCCGCCAGGCGGGGGCAGAGCTGAGGCTGGGACCCACAGTCCTGCCTCTGTGGACCAGCTGCAAGGCGGCAGGCTGCCCCGACCGACCGACTGGACCGTGGCACTCACCTTTGAGGACTGGCTTCTTGCCGATGCTCCGGATGTTATAGACGGCGCTGGACAGGGATGTGTCCGGAATGAGCTCTGCCAGCAGGTACCCGCCGTACCAGGCACACAGGGATGCGAAGACGAGGAGACCAGCCTTGAAAGCACCTGGAGACCGACGCGAGAGGCAACTGTGAACCGCTTTGTGCCGGGGCCACCGGGCAACCCCACCATGGCTCACCCGTGCCCTCCGCCGCCTCTCCTCCCGGCCACGTGCAGGGCGCCAGCGTCAGGGGACTGCTCTAAAGGGACAGTGCTCCTGGAGCGGCAGCTGGGAGGGGTGGGGGGCGCTGGGCCGGGGAGCGTGCAGAGCTGTCCTAGCAGAACCACGGCGGCGCGGCGGGCTTGGCTACGGCTGGCATTTGAAGTGGACGGTAGCAGATAACACAAGCAAGGCAGGCGTGTTTCCAAGCACAATTTGTGATAGTTGCTATTGGTCTGGGCCTTAGAGCTTCTTCAAGTGCTAATATCATCCAGTGGTTCATTAAGTGCCCTATGAACCAACACGCCCAATGCGGACCTGAAAAACTAAAAGCAGCTCGTTCCTTTTGTGAGACACAATCAGACCCGAGCAAGCTCCGGCAGCTAGAGGGAGGGGCACGGCCTGTTTTGTTTATCACTGCATCACCTGTGCTGGGAACAGTACCTGGCACCCCAGGAGCAGGCAACGGTCCACGAGGGACCATGTCCTGACATATGACACTGGGAAAAGTCCCCAAACCTGTCCTATCATCAGGGACAAGACTGTGGGCCACCCAAAGGTCCCGAAGGCTGAAAGTCCCCAGAGATATCTTTCTGGCTGATTGGCAACAATATCTTATCTCTCCCATGCAACATGAGAAGCAGCTGAGAGCTAAGAAAAAGGCGTCTATCTCCTCGTAGGTTGCCAGAGCCCGGGGAGACAGCTCCCTGTCCCTTCACAGGCAATCCACTGCCAGGGTTTTTGATTTTGCACCGTAAATATGGCACAGAACAGAACTCGAGCAACAGTTTGCTTACGAAAACTGCTGCAGGGCAGGGATAGCAAACAGCCCTGGGAGGTTTGTCCTATAGCATTTACGTATGTAGTAATAGGTAGAGTCTGAAGAGGCCGGGCGCGGTGGCTCACACCTGTAATCCCAGCACTCTGGGAGGCCGAGGTAGGAGGATGGCGTGAGCTCAGTAATTCCAGACCAGCCTGAGCAAGAGCCAGACCCCGTCTTTACTAAAAACAGAAACATTAGCTGGCATGGTGGCGCATGCCTGTAGTCCCAGCTACCCGGGAGGCTGAGGCAGGAGGATCACTTGAACCCAGGAGTTCGTGGCTGCAGTGAGCTAGGATGATGCCACTATACTCTAGCCAGGGTGACAGAGCAAGGCCCCGTCTCAAAACAATAAGAAAAAAAGAAAGTAAAGAAGGAAGGAAGGAGGAAAGAAAGAAGAAAGAGAAGGAAGGAAGGAAATGAGGGAGGGAATTATGGGCCCTGAAGGGCCGGCGACGGCCCCACGCCTGCACCCAGCAGGAGTTGAGCTCTCTGCCTGGGCTCTGTCCTCACCCCCACACCCAGAGAGAGCCCGTGCCCTGGCCGTGTGCACCGCGCCAGCGTGTGGGTGTGCTGGTGCTGGCAGGGGCGGCGCCTCAGCACCGGGGATCGTCCTGCCAGAATGACATGAGTCTGCGTCACCTTGGGTTTTGCTTAGTTTTTCCAAATGCAGTTTTCACCATAATTTTTTTCATTTCTATTTCCCAAACCATGCAGCTTCTGAGACTGTTAGACTACTAAGCAGGGATGGCTTCCTGTCGGGAGAGGCCCAAGGCAACACTGCAGTTTCTAGGACGGAAGGGACGTCTCAGAGCAGGAGAAACCAGCCTGGGAAAACAGAATGAGACGGGGTGGGGTGGGGCGGCTCAGCAGGCCCCGCTGCTGTTCAGTCCTCTGCAAGGGGGATGCCTCTGCCTGGAGGTCACCCTCCTCCCCGCAGCCCTGCACTGGCACCTGCCACGGCCCACCCCTCCAGGACAGTGCCCGCACGTCTAGGCCAGTGGATGGGCCGCATGATGTTCCAGAAAATTCTGTGGGATGAACATGGATGGACAGTGTGCCAGGAGAGCAGCCACAGAGCATGTTGTTCAAAGGCAACGACAGACCACTGCGTCCTGTGAGTACTGGGTTGCGGCTGGACCATTTTATCTAAGCGTGATATCTGAAGACGCAATTTGCCTAACCAGAGACCTTGTAGACCCGTGGCCCCCAACCCCTGGGCCGCAGGGCTCTGCCGCACTCCTCCTCCCTCCACCCCATCGGCGGAAAAACTGTCTTCCATGAAACCCGTCCCTGGTGCCAAAAAGGTTAGACTGCCGTTCCAGACAACACGTCACACGCGTGATCCCACGCAACAAGCTGCTGTTTAGCTTGGAGAAGACTGAAAAGGACCATTATGCTACCGTTGGAATGCGTAAAAAGCAGCTGCACGAAGGGAGGGGTAACTTTGTCCCCACTTGAACAAGGACAAACGGGCGGGAGTGGCAGGGAAGAAAATGGAGAATGCACAGCAAGTCAAGGGGAGCTGCAGGGCACGGCCCCGCCCGCGAGGCCGTGAGCTCCTGGGGAGACGAGAGCCTGTCTGTGCCTTGGGTGAGGGCTGCAGCCAACGACCCCCAGGCTGGGGACAGTCTGGTCTCCCTTGGTGGCATGCGGCTGGCCAAGACCGGGAGACCCAGAGCCAGAACCCCCTCCAGGGTGAGGCAGATCTGGCCTTAGGCTCTGGGACCCCCCCCCTCAAGAAGACAGGCGCACTGGACTGGAGAGCTGCGGGCCCGCAGGTCTAGCACTAAGTCGCAGAAGTATCCCAGCCACCAGAGGGAGGACCTAGGAGCCAGGAGGTGACTGACAGCCTCCCAGCAGGAAACATGATTCAACTCCTAGAGCGTCCCGCAGACCGGGCTTCAACAGTGGGCCCTTATTTTCTCACACTCCCGAGGCTGGAGGTCCACGGTCAAGGTGTCAGCAGGGCTGCTTTCCCCAGAGGGGTCTCCCCTAGGCTGGCAGGTGGCACCTCTCCCCCGAGTCCTCACAGGCTCCATCCTCCGTGGCTGTCTGTGTTCTAATGCCCTCTTCTGACAGGGCGCCAGCCAGACCGGGTCGGGGACCACCCTAACAAGACCTCATTTTACCTTAGCCACTTCTTTAAAGAAAGGCCCCATCTCCAAATGCAGCCACGCTCTGCAACCCTGGGGTTAAGGACTGCGACACAGGAATTGTGGCGGAGAGGCCACGATTCGGCCCACAGCACAGCAGCAGGCAAGCCGTGGCTCAGCTCCCTGTGGGCTGCACACCGGCCACAGGTCGTCAGTTCCTGGGGGTGACAGCAGAGCGGGCAGGACACGGGCGGCCCGTCAAGACGGAGGCTCGGACACTGGGCAGCAGGGAGGGGTCGGTGCCTGGGCTGGGACACAGGGCAGGTTTCCTCCAGGGACCCGGTGGGCCTGCCCTGGAGGGAGGAGACTGGCAGCTGCAGAGGTGGAGGAGGAAGTACGCAGAGCCCCGGAACCCTTCTGTGATTCCGTGACCGGGATCCAGTCTTTTCTCGTAAGGTAATAAAATCGTCATTAGCTCACGGAAATGCCCTCCCACGTGGCTGCTGCCTGCAGGAGCAGGGAGTATGAGATCAAAGGCCAATTCTCAGCACAGACGAGAGTCAGTGAACTCTCTCCTAAGAGACCCACCTTCTGTGGGCCCGGACAAGCACAGGAAGGTGCTGTCACTGACACCTTGCCGGTGTGCATTCAGATCACGTCCCCTTGGAGGCGGCCACACTGTGCCCCTGGTACTGGAGAGGCAGGAGGGCTGAGAGTGGACAGTCCCCACCTTGAGACTCGCTGCCTTGTGGATTGCAGGCTCTGGTGCCCAGGTCCACACGGCAATGCCCATTTTGAGGAATCGGGATGCCCAATACCAGGCTCCTTGGGCAAAGGAATGGTGGGCAGCTTAACTTACTCTGTCCATTCCATCTGAATGTCCTTCCTGCACACTGTCTGTCTGGAACCAACCCGGCGCTGGACTGAACTATCAAAGACCAGGCCCATTCCAAGAACGCCCCCAAATCTACAGCTCACAGAATCAAAAGTGATGCGGCTCAGAGTCTCTGCAGGCATCTTCTCTCACAATCACACATGACCGGATAAACACAAACCTGTGCTACCCGCAAGCTCTGTATGGAACACATAGCTCATGAATCCTGCGGTCTGTGTGTGGAACGGTTGGTTGTAGGTGAGGGAAGACAGTCTTGACAATATTCAGCATTTTCCATAAGTAACCAGTAGATACTATCGTAATTATGCAACATAGAAATAATGAAAAAAAATTCTTCCAAAAGAGCTATAATGAAAGTTGGTGCCCTGAGCGAGTTGATATTTTATCTCCTAGAATCCTACAGTCCACACAAGCTGTCGAAAACAGTGTTGCTCATAAATACACAGTTTTTAAAGAACATGTGACTATCTTACACAATAAGGCAAAAATCCTAACATTTGCCTGGCTTTCCCACATTTGGGAATGGTGCGGAAAAGGCAGCATGTAGAACTTTCTGGAGTGTGGCTGCACCGCCAGGATGCTGGTGCTGGTAGGAGCGGTGGTCTTTTAATCTAATGCCCTCACCTCCGGGAATCGGGGGTCCCAAGCCCAGGAGGTGACCTACCAAAGAAGCCAGGAGAACTTCCCATTTTGGAACTTTCTGGTTTTTCGAGAGACAGGTGGCCTCACTCCAGGAGGAATCCAGTTCCTGGGATTAGAAGAGGCAGCGAAACCAATGGGAAAGGGTGTTCGGGACAGAGGCCGGGCAGCCCACCCCAGGACCTGGAGACGCCCTGTACCAGGCAAATGTCTGGGACACAGGTGAAGTCAAGTCAGGCTTTGAGGGAATGAAACGACTGGTAAAAATAAAGACATTTTCTTTCCCTTTTCCTATTTATCCAAATCTTCTACAGTGTCAAGTAGTTTGAAAAATGGGAAAAATAAAAATTGCCTTACCAAGTGGCATCAGGCCAGCCCCTTCCCGCTGGGAGGTTCGGGGGCTCCGGCCCTGGGGAAGGAGCCGTTGCGGGGACCCGGGCCAGTGCGCCCTGCCTG